AGAGAGAGAGAGAGAGAGATATTAGGTTGTTTCAAAGAGGAACCCCTAAACTCCACCCCACCCCACCCCTTCTCTCTTCCTCTTTCTCCCTCTTTTCTCTCTCCCCCACTTTCTCTTTTTCTCTTGCTTACCCTATTTCTTTTTCAGCTTGTGCACGTTTGAACCTACAATGAAGTTAATAAAAAGTATGGGTGTATATTTCCCAATACAAGTACATGTACAACATATCGTACCATATGTGGGTTTACTCTTTGTCGTTCCTTTTGGGTGGTTATTTTTTAATATTCTCGTTGCCAATGGTCGAAGTGAAGGAAATGAAGTCACAGTAGGCAGCTACGGTTTTACGTATGTTTGAAGAATCACATGGTCGGGCGAGTCGGCACAGGTATCCTATCGAGCTTCGCACTCGTAATTGCAAGGGTCTGTGATACGAAAGAATTCGCTAAAGAAGGATTACGTCTGGCCTTGCGTTCTCTGGGACAAAAGGCGCGGCTGTGCCGGTCGACGTGTGTGTCCGCCGAAGCGACCGCCGCATTGTATGTAGTAATGTGTAGAGGTAGGGGCGCCAACAATCAGGCACCCCCGAGATCTTGCAAAAGATTTGCACAGCGTACAGGACATACCCGTGACGTGCTCGCCGAGCAAATAGTATCCCGCTATGACCCGATGGTCGTGTCTTCGCTAACCAACCAAGGATTTTTTCCCCTTCCTTCTTGCAAAAAAACCCAAGTTGTTGTTACAATGTCTTTACTTGTTCAACTTGTCTGTTGTCTTTTTTCCCTTCCTCTAAGTCCCGCCAATGCTGTCGTGTTGTAGTAACCATTGTACGGGCTGTTGGATAGTTTGCTGGAAAGTATAATACAGTGATTATAATATAATCACCATCATCGTCATCATCATCATTGCCATCGCTGATCAAAATGATAATGTAGCACGATGTCTCCACTCCATTTCAGCACTTTATCTCCGTTTTCTTCGAACTGGCGTGTCCCAAAGAATGTATGGCCGCTGTGGTATTTAGACAAGGCCACACTGTAGAGAACATCTGTTTAATGTTTTTTCCTTTTGTGACAGCTACAGTCTACACTGGTTTATCTGGCAAGCCCAGTCATGGGTACACGTGTAGGCATATTTTGTTAGGGATTTGATACTGCGTCTCTTGAAAAGACGTTGGCCCCCGTCTTCCCACTGCTATTTTTTTCCTTTGTTGATTTTGTAACTGTTCTATCTTACCTCAAAACTTTGCTCTGCCCAACGAAAATTTCAATATTTACCTCCAAAGATAAAACATTGCACTTAAAAAAAAGCGTGTCTATTATCGCCCAGTTCTTCTGTTTGTTCTTTCGTTTATTGTGAATTCAACTGAGGCGGAATTTCTTCCATATTCTCTTCTTCTCTGGGGTCGTTTTCTATTTCATTAGTGGACATTTGGGTAAGCATGTAGGTTTAAAAACGTGGAGGAATTCATTCCAAAAATAGTAATAAAGTGCTTAAGTTACACGACAGTATTATAAAGTCGCCATC